CTGGTAGTGAACGTTTTCTTCCACAAGTCACTGAGCCGTCTAGAACCAGTTAGGAACCTACCTGGAGCCCATCTTTAATCAGTTTGGAATCCATGCGGAACCCGCCCCATGTGACCTTGTCAAACACAATTACTAAACAGTTGTAGAAACCAGTTTCTCAAGTGTGTGTCTCCATCCAGGAGCCAGCAGTCTCACTGCTCTGCTTTCTGAGCTGCTGTACCTGAGCAGGCAAAGTCATTCTTTCGCAGCTCAGCAAGGTTGAGACCCCTTAAAGTTGGGGGGGAGCTGCACTGCGTGTAGAGCCCCAACGCTGGTCTCTGCCGCAGCCACGGAGACAACCAGGCCAGATGACAGTCACAGCGCAGAGAGTTGGAATGGAGCCGACTGGGAGAGGGAAGGTCAGATACACAGAACATGACACTAGTAAAGAAGTCAGGTGTGAGATACAGGAGGCTGTCTCTGTAACCAACGTCAGGTGTTCACGCACAAGGTCCGGAGCTTCGGCATGTGGTTGAAGCTGGAGACAGGGATGGTGGTAATGTTGTTGTTGTTCAGCGTTCTGAAAAACACAAAAACAGGCAGATTAAAGGCATGGGGGCAGGAGGCAGGCCCACCGATGGGGGAGCAATGGGTCCATCCAAAACGGTCTGTCTACTGCTCAGCATTTGATTATATCATCATTAAACCAGAGTCTGTTCCACACAAGCAGGAGAAGAAAGGAAATAGAGACTTTCTAACTTCCGTTATCTTATCCCGTGCACGTCATTTGGAATCGTAGGATGTCCAAGGAGGATCCCGTCTACCTCTGATTGGCTAGAAGGGCTCTACTTCGATTGGCTGTGTCATTTAGCAGCAAACCGTCTTCCCCGCTAACTGCAGACTGTCCTCCAGCCACCAACAGAAAGCTGTTTGAGTAGTTTTGTGAAAAAATGTGAACTTAGCACCACAATAACCATTCTGTCCTGTTTTACAAAGTAGTTTTTTTCTGTTTCATTTATTAAAAATGCTGAAAAACGTAAAACGTGAAATCAAAATAAATCTTGTTGCATGTATCACACGGTTGGACTGTCTTTCTATCTGTTAGCTCTTAAGTATTGAGGTTTTCATATTAAAGCAGAGTAAGTAGGGTAAGCACCTGGTATGAAGTATAATAAAACGTTTCTGTGTGCAGCAGGTCTGTTTGTCTTCTAGAATAATGAAACCTGGTGAAAACAGGTCTAAATCACATTCAGCTTTTACATGCGGTTAAATGATCCACATATGTAAACAGATGATGAGGAATGTTCTCTAACTTGCAAACAGCCTTAGCCTAGGAGAGTGAAGCCTGTAGTAACAAGATAACCCCAGCAGAGCCAACAGATGTAAAGGCAGTCTAACAGCGTGATACATGCCACAAGATTTATCACATTTGATGTTTATCAGATTATTTCATGAAATAAATTGAAACAGGTTTGTTGCAGAATGGTTATTATAGCGCTAAGTTCACATTTAGTATTAAAAACCCCTCAAGATCTGGCTGCAGACATCAAAACCCTGCAGTGAGGGGAAATACCCAACCGTAGGAGAGCCCTTCCAGCCAATCAGAGGCGTGAAAGGTGGGACCTTCCTTGGACATCCTATGATTCCAAAGGACGGGTCCCAGACCAAGGTAAGCCTGTCGAACATTCTGACAGGAAATGGTGTGAAGGAGGAGGACCGCCCAGATGAGGTGATTTCAGAGGTTGTTTGATGTTTACATGATTAGATCTTTACCACAAACACAACACCCGACTGCTGTGTTTGGTGACGTTTCTAAAACATCACAAGAGAAAACTGGACATATACAGTTTAAATGAGGTGAACAGATGACCACTCACAGCACTTCCAGGGATCGCAGGGCTCGAAACGCTCCCTCTTCAATACAGCTGATGCGATTTTTATCCAGCTGACTGGAAACAAGAACAAATACAAACTAAGCCATCAAACAAGCCTTTAGATGGTCTCTCAGTCTGAGCTGGATTACTGGCATGAATGGGCAGGCTGATGTTTTACCGTGCTCTAAACACGTCCACACCAGAAAAGAGAGACTAAAACTGTCTTCCAGATTTTTTCCATTGCAACATTTGATTGACAGCGAGACCCTCTTGAAATGAAAAGCTAGTAAACATTTCCGTTTGAGCCACAGATTTAAAATGTTTTTGTTGGTTTCTGCTGAAACGTTTTACTTACAGGTTTTTGAGCTCTGTGGCTCCTCTGAAAGCTCTCCTCGGGATGGTCTGGATGGTGTTTTCGCTCAAATCTCTGGGCAAAAGAGACATAAGATCCTCTTTTACTGATTTCCGTGTGAAACACAAAGTGTTGATCTGTTGAGTCGGCACATTCACAAAGTTTAAATGCTTCCTCAATCCTCTTACAGCTGTCTCAGCTGGACACGGTGAGACGTCTGAGGGACAGCTGTCACATCCATTAGAACTTTTGGATCAGGATCTTTGTAGCGCGGCAGATTTTAATTTCTCACCATCAAACAGACAATGTGAATCCATCATACTTTATCCAATCTGCACAGAGGTTAACGGTCCAGAAGACAACACGTTGAGCCATGTGTCATGTTTTATGTGCTCAACATGTCAGACTTTTATTTTGAAGGCATTTCCTGTTGTGTTCTGTGGAACAACAGCCAATCAGAAGTGATTGCCATGATGAGACTCACCTGTACAATGTTTTTCTATACAAGAAGTCTGAACTAATTAAACCTGTCTTGGGAGTTGATGGTGAAACTGTGAGACCAGAGAGATTTATTGGAAGCGTGTGGTTCTTCTTATTCATCGACAACCAAAACCTCTGCCAGTTGTTTGCTTCTGCTCTCAGGTTATGGGCCCAGGAGGTCGCGGAGAGTCATAACGTCAGAGAGCCCAGAGCCAAACAAACGCAAGGCCGGTGAGTTGGACAGAGCTTTGACGTGTGTCGGGTAACATGAGTCGGAAGGGCGCGAAGACCCGTACCCGTTGGTCCAGACTGGAAGACAAATATGAATTGTGGGAGACGAAGTTTATCGGCCACCTTCAGTTGCAAGGGCTGAAAGATGCAATATTTGAGCCGGAGAAGGAAGGTGAAGACACCGATGACGACGACGAAATGGAAAACACTGAAGCATACAATGAGCTCATCCAATCCTTGGATGATAAGAGTTTGTCGCTTGTGATGCGAGATGCCACAGATGATGGGAGAAAAGCCCCGAAGATACTGAGAGAGTATTGTGCCGGTAAGGGAAAAGCCCACATCATCAGTCTCTACACTGAATGAACTTCACTGCACCAGACGAGTGATGGAAGTGTGACAGACTACGTACTGAGAGCGGAGGCCGCCATCACAGCACTGAGGAGCGCAGGTGAAACCCTGAGTGATGGACTGCTGATAGCTACGGTTTTAAAAGGTCTGCCTGAGTCGTTCAAATCATTCGTCATCCACATTACTCATGGTGACAAAACCATAACCTTCTCTGATTTCAAAAGTAAGCTGAGGAGTTGTGAAGAAGCTGAACAGTTTCAGACGACAACGTTATGAAGGCATGAATGCAGCCAAAAACCAAAACATGCAAGGGCTGACGTGAGTGGGCAGCGCTCAGGTGACAGAGACTTAACATGTTTTAAATGTGGTCAGAGAGGTCACAGGGCCAAGACATGTCACCAAAAGAAAAGGAGTATTCTGCAAGTGCACCACACACCAGAGTGAGGTGTGCAGACGGAGATGCAGACAGGATGACGCCCGGAAGGTCGTTGACGATGATGGCGACAGCAAGGAATATGTTTTCCAATTAAGCAATACAGATGAGGATTCCCTGGTGGGCAGCATCGAAAATCGAGCTCTGATGGTGGACACAGGTGCGACATCGCACATAATCACCGATCTCAAGAAGTTCAGAAGGTTTGACGCCGACTTCAAGCCCAGAACACATCGCGTAGAGTTGGCTGATAGAACCAGGTGCAAAGGAGTGGCGGAAAGAAGAGGAGAAGCAGTGGTGACTCTGATCGACAGCGAAGGGAAACATCACACAACGGTGCTAAAGCAAGCACTCTACCTTCCTTCCTATCCGCAGGACATTTTCTCGGTGACAGCAGCCACCTCCAACAGTGCCACAGTGACCTTCAAACAGAGAAGAGGTGTACTGGTACATTCCGATGGAACGAGGTTCCCCATCACTGAATGTGGGAGACTATACTACCTCCAAACTGTAAGTAATGTGTGGGATGACCAACGTAAAACCTCTTATGATTTGCAACGATGGCATGAGATAATGGGACACTGTAACGTTAATGATGTGAAGCAATTACAGGGGGTTGTTGACGGGATGCACATGAAAAATAAGGAAAAAGAAATAAGAGAAGGTGAAGTGTGGATAAAAGGAAAGTTTGTTCAGACTAGGAATCATGATGCAGATGTAAGAATTAAAGCCGTGCTAGACCTAGTCCATACTGACTTAGCTGGTCCTATAAGCCCAGAATCAAAGGAGGGGTACAAATATGCCTCATCTTTCACTGACGATTACTCCAGCAGTATGTGTGTATTTCTTAAAACAAAAGTGTGACACTGTTCAAGCAACGGAGAGATTTATGGCTGATACAGCACCACATGGAAAAATTAAATGCATGTGTTCTGATAACGGTACGGCCCGGCCCAGCGCCTCAGCCTCCAGAGTCTTTGGCATCTCCACCTACAGGCCAATCATCGTCAGCAGTCACCGCCGGTTCGGACCTCACCCGCCACCTCTTCTGCCACAGACACTGGCTCCCCAGACTCCAGATTCGCCACCATTGTCCCCGGTCCCCCAGAATTCCCCGGCTCCACCGCCATGGCCCTCAGCCTCGTCGCCGCCGGCCCCCCAGAGTCACCTGGTCCTGGCCTCCTTTGGTCCCTCATCGCCGGCCCCCCAGTCACATGGTCTCGGCCTCCGTTGGTCCCTCGTCGCCGGCCCCCGAGAGTCACATGGTCCCGGCCTCCTTTGGTCCCTCGTTGCCGGCCCCGAGAGTCACCTGGTCCTGGCCTCCTTTGGACCCTTGTCGTTGGCCCCCCAGGGTCTCCTGGTCCCCAGTCGCCTGCCTCCCAGACTCTCCTGGTCCCTGGTCCCCCGTTGCCGGCCTCACAGACTCTCCTGGTCCCTGGTCCCCCGTTGCCAGCCTTTCAGACTCTCTTGGTCCCTGGTCCCCAGTTGCTGGCCTCCCAGACTTTCCTGGCTCCTGGTCTCCCGTCACCGGCCTCCCAGACTCTCAATCCCCTGGACTCTCTTGGTCTCCTGGTCCCTGATTCCAGGTCGCTGGCCTCCCAGTGCCTACAGGTCCTGGCTCTTGGTCCTCTGTCGCCAGCCTCCCAGACTCTCTTGGTCCCTGGTCCCCCGTCACCGGTCCCCGGGGCACCTCCTGTGTTTCCCTTCTCCAGTGGTTCCCCCATGATTGACCCCATGGGCCCGGCCTCTTGTTTCGCTTACCCCTGACTCTGTTTGTTGTCTGTTCTGCCTTTTTAGGGGACTTTTGTGTTTTTTGGTCCTCCTCGCCCGCCGTTGTTTTCGTGTTTAGGACTCACCCCATACCAAGTAATGAGCGGGAAAAAGCCCAATTTGTCTAGACTGCACGAATTTGGGACAAAATGCTTTGCATACAAACAAGAAAAAGGGAAGCTAGACCCGAGGTGCAAGGAAGGTATTTTCGTGGGACATGACAACAACAGCCCAGCCTATCTAGTTTATTTTCCAGAAAGGGGAAAGGTTTTGAAACACAGATTAGCAAAGGTTGCAACAGGGGAAACTGAGACACAGACCGAGACAGCTTCTGATGAAGAGTTTGAGTTCCCAAGAAGAGAGAAAGCAAGAAAATATCAAAGTGAAGTAAAAAAAACCTGAACCAGAGCCCAGAGAGGGAACTACTCGCCAAACGGGTCTCTCAGAAGGAGAGACAGAATCAAAACATTACCGTTCTAGGATAAGGAAAAAGCTGACTTATTTGAATGATTACATAACAGAGGAAGATGATGATCAAGCCTTAGCAAACATAGATTATTGCTATAGAATCTTAGGTGAGATCCCTTTAATTGTTAAAGAAGCTCTTGAGGCTCAAAACTCCAAAGAATGGAGGAAAGCAATGAATGACAGGGTTTTTCCCGGCTCAAACTGAGGCAGAGGTGGTACCATCCTCACCGTGCACCAGCACATGCTGGTGCTGAGGTGGTGCTCACTCCTCACCCCTGCCACGTGGACCTCAAGGGATAAAGTAAGTAAGTAAGTAACTTTATTTCTATAGCACCTCTCACAGACAAAAAGGTCACAAAGTGCTTCACAAGTTAAAAGGCAACAACATATAAATACAGTAAAATACAGCCACAATATACAGTGTCAAATAAAACCAATCTGAATGAGACTAAGTTTAAAATGCCTGGAGAAACAAATGGGTTTTAAGATTGCTCTTAAAAACATCAACTGAGTCGATTGAGCGTAAAGACAGAGGTAGCTCATTCCAGAGCCTAGGAGCGACGGCCTGGAATGAGCGATCTCCTCGTGTCCTGAACTGAGTACGTGGGACCATTAAAAGGTTTTGATCCATAGATCTCAGCCTGCGAGAAGGCGTGTAAGGGCAGAGCATGTCTCGAACATACAATGGAGCCAGACCATGCAGCGCTCTGAAAGTCAGCACAAGAATTTTAAAATTTATGCGAAATGTGATAGGAAGCCAATGAAGAGCTTTTAAAATGGGTGTAATGTGGACCCTTCTGTTGTCACGGGTCAGAATTCTAGCTGCACAATTCTGGACTTGTTGTAAGCGGGACAGCTCTTTTTTGTTTAGACAAGAAAATAAACTATTACAGTAGTCTAAACGGGATGATGTAAACGCGTGAATAATCAACTCAAGATCAGCTTTAGACACCATTGTTCTGAGTTTAGAAATTTGTCTCAAGTGGTAAAAACAGTTTCTAGTTAACTGCTTTGCGTGATGTTCAAGAGACATTCCCTTGTCAAAGAAAACGCCAAGGTTTCTAAGGGTAGGTTTTACAGACAAGCTCAGATCACCTAACTGCTGGTGAATCCCTGGAGCAGCATCATCGGGGGCAATCACCAGTACTTCAGTTTTGTCTGAGTTCAGCCGTAAGGCATTTGCACCGAGCCACTGTTTGATTCGCTCAAAACATGATAATAAAGAATGCAATTTTTTAACGTCAGAAGGCTTGAAAGAACAATACAGCTGAAGATCATCAGCAAAGAGATGATAGGAAACATCATCGGCAAACTCCTGGATTAGGTTTCCTAAAGGAAGGAT